AATTAACTCTATAAATGATGTCACACATGTATTATAACACATTAAAATAAATGTCAGACACATAATTCCAATAGTTGCGTAGCGTCTCTTTCGTTCAGTTTCGTAACCTCAAACAAAGACGGTTTTTTTGAGTTTCCCGCAGCTGGTCAGCCATCACGTGAGCGCGGCTTCGCAACCTGATTGGCTCCGTCCGCAGCGGCACTTTAACCAGCCGGTCACGTGCTGCGTTCCTATTGGTCGGCTGCGTTCTAGCGCCAATATTCGTATAAAGGAGGCGGAGCGGACGAGAGGAGCCGCTTCAGTCTCTCCGCTCCTCGTCTCCGTGTCGGCTGCTCTTAGTTTCTCCTCCTCCTGGTTTTATAAAGTTTTAACTACTTAACTTATCTTTTATTCAACATGTCTTTTGCTCGCAGTCCTCTTCGTGTGAAGAACGAGAAGTCCCTCAGCGGTCAGATGGACAACATGTCTCTGGACAAAGAGAACACGGTGAGAGAAAACAACTGAACGCTAGAAGTCTTAACGGCGGCCATGTTCTCCTCACTTGTGTTTTAATGTGTATTTCAGCCTGTAAAAGTATTCGTTGTGTTTATAAAGTACATGTTTGTTCACGGAGGATTTCTTCTTCTTCTTCGTCTTTCAGCCACCGAGTCTGAGCGCGAGCCGCATCTTGGCTTCAAAAACCGCGCGAAAAATCTTCAGTGACGCGGTGAGTGAGACCCGGATGTACTGAGACTTTCTTCTTCTTGTCATTTAACGGTCACATTATGTTAAAGTCGTATTACTGTGTTTTGGTTATTTTGATCAGGTGGCGCCCAAAGTGTCGATTCTGGCGCCAAAAAAAAACGTGTTCGATCAGCTGTTCCTGTTGATGATCGATCAGCTGTTCCTTCTAGTTTCTCTACAGTTATAAGTAATAGTTGAATTGTATCTGCAGTTGATCCTAATAGATTATAGATGAACATTCGAGGTTGTCTGATTGTTTTCGATCAATCGTTGGTTTGTAACATGTTTCCTAGAGTCAACATGACGTCTTTGTTTAGTCGCCTGAAGATGTTTATGTGATGAATGATGTAAAGCTTAGTTCATAACTTCAGCTCTAATTTAAACCAATAAAGTTGTGAAGTGTGTAGTCACGTGTGTGTGTGTGTGTTAACCTATCTGTGCGTTCTCTCAGTCTGAAGCCGTGAAGAAGAGCCGCCCCGAGGAAGAGGAGGAGCCTCTCCTGAAGAACAACCCTCATCGCTTCGTCATCTTCCCCATCCGGTACCACGACATCTGGCAGATGTACAAGAAGGCCGAGGCCTCCTTCTGGACCGCGGAGGAGGTAACCGTGGAGAAGAGTGTGTGGGCGTGGCCTCCGGGTGTGCGACGATGTCGTGCTCACTTCCTGTCTGTGTCCAGGTGGATCTGTCCAAAGACCTGCAGCACTGGGAGTCTCTGAAGGACGAGGAGAGGTTCTTCATCTCTCACGTGTTGGCCTTCTTCGCCGCCAGCGACGGCATTGTCAATGAGAACCTGGTGAGCTGCTCTCAGATCAGCTGTTGTTGATATAAAGTCTAAATGTTGACGTTATTAAAGCGTCTCCTCACCTTGTTCTCCGGGTGACCACCAGGTGGAGCGCTTCACTCAGGAGGTCCAGGTGACGGAGGCTCGCTGCTTCTATGGGTTCCAGATCGCCATGGAGAACATCCACTCAGAGATGTACAGCCTCCTCATCAACACCTACATCAAGGAGCCCACCGAGAGGTGAGACCACCAGAGACCTGGTCCTGGTGCTAGACCTCTACTGGTCTCTGGTACTACACTCTACTGTTCTGTGCCTGACGGTGTGTTCAATGACCCTCAGAGAATACCTGTTCAACGCCATCGAGACTCTGCCGTGTGTGAAGAAGAAGGCTGACTGGGCGATCAACTGGATCGGCAACAAGGACGCCAACTTCGGTAAGACCTGCTCTCTGGTCCGGTATCTGGTGTTTATCTGGTACTGATCTGGTATCTGCTGTTGATCCTCACTCTGTGGTTCCTCCAGGAGAACGTGTGGTGGCCTTCTCCGCCGTGGAGGGAATCTTCTTCTCTGGTTCCTTCGCCGCCATCTTCTGGCTGAAGAAGAGAGGCCTGATGCCCGGCCTGACCTTCTCCAACGAGCTCATCAGCAGAGACGAGGTCAGTAGTGCTGGTTTCACTGTGGGGTGCTGGTCTCACTGTGTCCTGACCGGTCAGTATGGATTATTGACCACGGGGTCAGGTCTGTGGTGATGAGAAGCGCAGGGGTACGGACCTCAGCCAATGATGGGGGCTGAGTGCTGCTGCACACGTTCTGATTGGAGGACGAGTGGTTCACTGACAGAACGACAGCAGCACGACACAGACGCTGGTCTGAACAGACCTGACACCTGTAGGGTCCCGCCTGTAACACGCCTGTAGGGGTTGGTTCGCCTGTCGGGTAACTCTATATTTGTGAACTATAGACAGAACAAACGGGTCTGACGGTCTAAATCTTCCTCTTTCACGTGAGTTAAACTTGGTTCTGCGTTGGTTCTCTGCAGATCTACCGGGTGGAGAACCCCTTTGACTTCATGGAGAACATCTCTCTGGAGGGAAAGACCAACTTCTTTGAGAAGCGAGTGGGCGAGTACCAGAGGATGGGCGTGATGTCTGGAGGCTCAGACAGCACCTTCAGGCTGGACGCAGACTTCTGAGGAAACACT